TTTTAATTGAATCACTGTGAGATAGATCTAATGATAAATTATAAATAAATTACAATCATAATCACGATCATCCTGTTGTTCGTCGATTGCCTCGAGTAGGCCCCAGTAATGTCTCCTTTGTCCTAGCCCTGAGATTTTAAAAAATGCCATATTCAAGGCTCTATCAGGGTTAGGAAAATGAGACCCATAATTGCTACTGGTATTTGGCAAACGAGGAGTTTGCCAGACTCTGCCGTGTGGGCAGGTAACATAGGGTAGCCTGCCAGGTTGTCCAAAGTAAGGATGAGATAATAAGATGTCGCACAGCTGCGAATGCGGCTGTGCGCTTCCGAGAGCTGGGTTTTAGAGTCTCTGGTCTTGGCCATTGATGGGATTACACGGTGCCAGGGGGCCAGTTGGTGGGTGTGGCCCCTGCCTACTGGAAGATGGAGAATCTGGGTGGAGGATGCTCAGCCCTGATCCAAACAGGCTTGGAGATCTCAGTCCCGGGACCCGCATGCCTTTGTTCCTCTGCTAGTACCTTCATGCGTGTGGAGAGTGGTCTCAGCATGGTGGTGGCTGGTTCTGGAGGTCTTCGGCTGCCAGAGCTCTGCTGGGGGCGGGGAGGGAAACTCAACCCGCCCCCCTCCAAGGGGCCCCGGCTAGGACAGCCAGGCATGGGGGCAGGAGACTGCACTGTTCTCTTCTGGGAGCTGGGTTTTATAGTCTCTAGGTCTTGGCCGTTGATGGGATTACATGGTGCCAGGGGGCCAGTTGGTGGGTGTGGCCCCTGCCTACTGGAAGATGGAGGATTTGGGTGGAGGATGCTCAGACCCGATCCAAGCAGGCTTGGCGATTTCAGCTCCGGGACCCGCATGCCTTTGTTCCTCTGCCGGTACCTTGATGACTGTAGAGAGTGGTCTCAACAATATTTATAATATAAATTATAAAACTGTTCATGATTGGATTTTAGTCATACAGTATTCAAAAACCCATCCCTCCACCAGTGTACATTTCCCAGCACCAGTGTCCCCAGGTTCCCTCCCATCAACCCCCACCTTCTGCCTGCCTCTATGGCAGGTGCTCTTCTCTCTCTCTCTCTCTCTCTCTCTCTCTCTCTCTCTTGCTCTCTATTGCTCTCTCCTCTCTCTCTCTCCTTTTGGGCATTATGGTTTGCAATATTGATACTGATGGGTACTGGATCATTGTCTAACTGAAACCCAAGCACAAAAATTTCTAAGTCTACAACTGTACCTCTTGGTGTTTCACTAATAAAAAATTAAAAATAAAGTTCTTAACAAAACTTTTTTTTTAAAAAAAAAGGTTACTGAAAGGTTATCAAGAATATCCCTTACCTATTTTTAACCCTCAGATCCTGTCCGGCATGATAATTTCCAGCTAATATTGTTACACTGGTCTCTTCTCTATCTTATATCGCTCTTTTTAAAAATGAATTTTTTTTATTAAGACAGTGATTTACAAAGTTGTTCATAATCAAGTTATTTCAGGCACACAATGTTAACACCAATCCTACCACCATGTCCCCTTTCGTCCACCAATGTTTCCAGTTCCCTCCACCCTGCCTGCCCCCATGTTAGGAATATGAGAAATTCATTTCATATTACATGCACCAGCAAAACTTAAAGGAATGGTAAATGTAATTATCATAAAATGAATCAATGAAAAGTTAATTTTGATCACTGATGGGCATTTGCCTTGCACGCAGCCAGCCCAGCCAAGGCAGGTTCGATTCCTCCACCCCTCTCAGAGAGCCTGGCAAGCTACGGAGAGTATCTTGCCCGCACAGCAAAGCCTGCCAAGCTACCCGTGATGTACTCCATATGCCAAACACAGTAACAACATGTCTCACAATGGAGAAGTTACTGGACCCGCTCGAGCATCGATGAACAACAGGAGGACAGTGCTACAGTGCTTATTATTGCTAATTCAATAAGTCAATTTGGATGACTGATTTCTATGTTTTTAATCTCTGAGACTGTGCCGTAGTACTCAGTGCTACATAATGGGAAGTTTCTCCTGTCTTCTAAAGGAGTTCTTTTAATAAATGAGAGTCTAGCTAGATAGAATATTCTTGATTAGGTATGCATTTCATTAAGTTTTTGTACTGTTCTTCCATATTTTTATGATTCGTAAAGTCATATTTGACAGATCTGCTGTATATCTGAGCTTTCCTTTGCAAGTAAGTTTCCCCCGCCCCCCCCATCTTGCTGCTTACATTTTCTCTAGCTTTAGATTTTTTAAAAAAATTTTTATTAGTGAAACACCATGAGGTACAGTTGTAGACTTACAAATTTTTGTGCTTGGGTTTTAGTTAGACAATGATCAAATACCCATCCCTCCACCAGTGCCCATTTTCCATCACCACGGATCCCAGTATCCCTCTCACCCCCATCCCCCCCTGCCTCTGTGGCAGGGCATTCCCTTTTGTTTTCTCTCTCTCTTTGGGTGTTGTGGTTTGCAAAAGAGACATTGAGTGGCAATCATGTTTGGTCTATAGTCTACTTTCAGCATGCTTCTCCCATCCTGGGAGGATCTTCCCAACACCCTTTATTTGGTGCTCCCTTCTCTATCTGAGCTGCCTGTTCCCCTAGCATGTGTGGCTGGCCTCCAAGTCATGGAGCAAAATTCCTGGTAATAATCTCTGCCATTCTTCGGTGTTAGTCTCCTATTTTGTCACTTTATGTTCCCCAGATGAATGCAATCTTTCTATGTCTATCCCTTTCTTTCTGAGTCATTTCACTTAACATGATACTTTCCATGTAGTACCACTTGTATGTAAATTTCATGACTTCATCTTTTCTAACAGCTACATAGTACTCCATTGTGTACATGTACCAAAGTTTTAACCAGTCATCTGTTCTCAGGCACTCAGGTTTTTTCCAGATTCTGGCTATTGTAAAGAGTGTTGCAGTGAACAAACAAGTGCAGATGTCACTTCGACTATACTTTTTTGCCTCTCTGCGATATATTCCCAGGAGTGGTATTGCTGGGTCAAATGGGAGCACAATTTCTAATTTTTTGAGAATTGTCCATACTGTTATCCAGTCGGCATTCCCACCAGCAGTGAAGGAGGGTCCCTTTCTCGCCACATCCGCGCCAGCACCAGTTGCTTTTGTTCTTTTGGTTTGAGTATAATGTGTCTTGGAGTTTTTGCTGGAACCCCTCGATCTCAGTGTCGATATTCTTCAACTCTGAAAAATTCTTATTGATGATTTCTTTGCTTTTCTGTTCTTCCGGGACTCCAATGATTCTTATAATGTTCCTTGTATTATGCTGGGTTTGCAATCTACCCCTCCCAGATATCTCTCTGCCCAGCCCCTCATCCCTCAGTAGTTGAACTCAAGCCTCTTGATGCCCCTTAGTTCTAATGTCCACCTTAAAAGGAGGTTGGTGCTTTGGGAGTGGGATTTGGGGTGTTCCTACACCCTCTCACAGACAGCCTGTCCCACAGCAGCACACAGCAATACCTTTGAAAGGAAAGCATTTCAGCCAGTATCTGAGGCCTCCAAGCAATGCTGTTTTCCTCTGACATCAGTTTGTCTTTTTATTTCGGGGCACACCTAGCAGTTGGGTTACTTCTAGCTCTGCACTCAGGGATCATTCCTGGCAGGGCCCAGGGAACCATATGGATGCCAGAAATCAAACCTTGATCAGCAGCATGCAAGGCAAGTGCCCTTCCTACCTTACTATTGCCCCAAATGCCCAAAGGTGACTTTAAAACAAGCCCTAAAAATTATTTAATTGCACAGCAGAAAGTGAGTTTTGTAGTTGATTTTTTTCCCCCCATCTTTTTGGGTCACATCGGCGATGACCAGGGCTTACTCCTGGCTCTGCACTCAGGAATCACTCAGGGGATTGTACCTGCGTCAGCCCCATGCAAAGCAAACATCCTCCCTGCTGTGCTATCGCTCCAGCCCCCTAGAAAGTGAGTTTTTTTAAATCAACAAATCACAAGTTACTGACATATTATGCTTCATGTATTTAAAAATATAAATATATAGCAAAATAAGGCAAAGACTTTATTGCGCTCAATCACACATTACATAAAATAGTACACATAAACAAATTCATTATTGGACCATAGGTACAAAAACAATCATCTACATATAATAAACAAGAAATGTTTATGGACTGAGGCAGTGAACCGAGGGATGCTGACACTGGTGGTGGTTGAGAGTCTAAACACTGAATGCCTGAAACCCTGTTATTAACAGTTTTGAAAACCAGGGTGCCCAAAAAAAATTTTTTTTTAAGAAAGAAATGGCTGGAGAGGTAACTCAGAGAGCTGGAATATTGGAGGCCTAGATTTTTCTCTGGTGCCACATGGTTCCCTAAACTGCTGTAGGTGACTCTGAAGCACCTGGTTAGTATCTCCAAAGTCAGAAAAAAACTAACCCAAAAAAGGTCCGAGAGTTCAACAGGCTAAAGGCATGCACTGAATGTAGGAGGTCCAGTCTAATCTCTGATACTATATGGTACTGCAAGGGAATAGCCCAAAAATGGAAAAAAATAAAAAAGAAATAGGATTTAAAATTGAATAGTTATTTAGTTATTACTATCGCATGTTAGTTAACTGTACTAACATAGTACCTCAAAAATTTATAGAAAATATTAATATTCAATAAATAATAGGGTTCTTTCCATTGTATCCTCAGTTCAAATTTTATCTCCATGCAGATTTCAGTAAAAAATATATAATTAAAACTTGGGGTAAGTTCTTACTCTCATTTTTGTCCTTTTATTATAGTACCATACTAAAATATTAAGACATTTAAAAAAAGAAATAGCTTATAGATTTACTGTTAATGGGGCTGGAGCAATAGCACAGCGGGGAGGGCCGTTGCCTTGCACGTGGCCGACCCAGGTTCGATTCCCAGCATCCCATATGGTCCCCCAAGCACTGCCAAGGGTTATTCCTGAGTGTAGAGGCAGGAGTAAGCCTGTGCAATGCTGGGTGTGACCCAAAAAGAAAAAAAACAAAACAAAACAAAAAAAAGAATTACTGTTAATACTGGTGGTTTTCTTGTTCAGTATGCAAAATAGAAATCTTTTGTTCTGTCAGAGAGCTCAAAATGTAAGAACCACAACAAGCTCTATGTTCTGCGTTTCCTTTTCCTCTTGGGTGCAGTGAACTCTAAAAGACAAAATTAAGAAGTCTGTTAGTTCTAAAGAACATAATTCTCATTTCATAATAAACATTTAATCTATACAGACATTTAACAGGTTTACTACATTAACAATCTACATTAACAATCCCTCATGGGAGGGCTGGAGTGATAGCATATCTTGCATCTTGCATGTGGCAACCCCAAGTTCAATCCCTAGAATCCCATATGGTTCACCAGAATTGATCCCTGAGCACAGAAATTGGAGCAAGCCCTGAGTGCTTCTGGATGTGGCCAAAACCAAACAAACCAAAAGGGAAAAAAAAAGAAGGAAGGATGAAGGAGGAGGGAAGGGGAAGGAGGGGGAGGAAGAGGAGGAAAAGGAGGAGGAGGAGAAGGAGAAGGAGAAGAAGAAAAAGGAGAAGAAGGAGGAAAGAAAATCAAGAAATCTTAAACCATAGTATATCAAACCTGTATTTGATCTCTCCTTCAAGATGACACAGCAGTTGAAAAGTTAATAAAGTAGATCCTAGTTGTGCTAGGTACTTAATAATAAAATACTTGTAAAAAGTTTACAAGTTGAAAGATTTCAGAATGAGATTTTTCCAAGTAGTCATAAAAGAAATAATGTCTGTACATATTTTTCAGGAGGAAAAGTACAGTGATTTAAAACACCTGCCTTCAAAAGTATAGTCATGATTTCAAATCCTCAGTTCTGCCCACCAGGAACCCGTCAGCTCTGCTGCTTGAATCTGGCAGCTTTGTTGCCTGTGATTCCCAACACCACAAGTACTTTCAGGCTGTACCACAGTCAGGTGTGTATGTAAGCATCACATAAAGGAGCACAACAATAAACAAGCACCACACCATAACCTGTGTGCCCCGACTAGAGAATACAAGCCAAGCCATGGAGAGCAAATATACAAGCACCACAACGTGCAAATGCCTCCATCGGCACTTTGGCCCAGAGTGCAAGCACGGCCACCTGAAAGCACAACTGAACCGTGTGATGAACACTGTCAGGTGTGGGCATGACCCCTGGTAATCACAACATCATTAACAACTAAAGGACGGGAGGAGAACGGGAGGGGACAAACATCCTAATGAATTTTTAAGATCTGTTTGGGGCTAGAGCGATAGCACAGCGGTAGGGTTTTGCTTGGCGCACAGCCAGCCTGGCCGAGCCAGGTTCGATTCCTCCACCCCTCTTGGAGAGCCTGGCAAGCTACCAAGAGTATTCAATATGCCAAACACAGTAACAAGAAGTCTCACAATGGAGACTCGAGCAAATCGATAAACAACGGGAGGACAGTGACAGTTTGTATTTAGCTGTTTACTCACAATAAAGCCACCAGTCAAGACTTGAAAACTACAGTCTAACTCAAGATTATGAAGAACTGACTGATGCTGGTATAAGCAAACAACAAAAGCACTCTGAAGACAAAGTTGGCAAAACCCTCCATGACACTGAGGCTAATGGTATTTTCAAAGATGACACGCCACTGGCTGAGCAAGTGAAAACGGAGATAGATAAATGGGACTATCTTAAACTAAGAAGCTTCTGTACCTCCAAAGAAACAGTGACCAAAATACAAAGACATTCTACAGAATGGGAAAGAATATTCGCCGAATACACATCTGACAAGGGGTTGATATCCAGGATATACAAAATACTGGTGGAACTCCACAAGAAGAAAACATCCAACCCCATCAAAAAATGGGGCAATGAAATGAACAGAAACTTTCTCAAAGAAGAAATCTGAATGGCAAAAAAGCACATGAGAAAATGCTCTACATCATTAATCATCAGGGAGATGCAGATCAAAACCACAATGAGATACCATCTCACACCTCAGAGACTGGCCCACATTCAAAAGAACAAAAGCAACCGTTGCTGGCGCGGATGTGGCGAGAAAGGGACACTCCTTCACTGTTGGTGGGAATGCCGACTGGTTCAGCCCTTTTGGAAAACAGTATGGACTTTCCTCAAAAAATTAGAAATTGAGCTCCCATTTGACCCAGCAATACCACTCCTGGGAATATATCCCAGAGAGGCAAAAATGTGTAGCCGAAGTGACATCTGCACTTGTTTGTTCATTGCAGCACTCTTTACAGTAGCCAGAAACTGGAAGAGACCTGAGTGCCCAAGAACAGATGACTGGTTAAAGAAACTTTGGTACATCTACACAATGGAGTACTATGTAGCTCTTAGAAAAGATGAAGTCATGAACTTTACATACAAGTGGTACAATATGGAAAGTATCATGCTAAGCGAAATGAGTCAGAAAGAGAGGGATAGACATAGAAAGATTGCATTCATCTGGGGGATATAAAATAACAAAATATGAGATTAATACCCAAGAATAGCTGAGATCAACACCAGGAGGATTACTCCATAGCTTAGAGGCCAGCCGGGTATTCTAGGGGAAAGGACAGTTCAAATAGAAAAGGGAACACCAAATGGAGGGTGTTTGGAGGATCCTCCCAGGAGGGGAGATGCAGGTTGAAAGTAGACTGGACTGAACATGTTCGCCACTCAATGCCTCTTTTGCTGATCACAACACCCAAAAGGAGAGAGAGAACAAAAGGGAATGCCCTGCCACAGTGGCAGGGGGGGTGGGTGGGGGGATGGGGGGGATGAGGGGGAGGGATATTATCCTGGTGGTGGAAAATGGGCACTGGTGGAGGGATGGGTATCTGATCATTGTATAATCGAAACCCAAGCACAAAAAATTGTAAATCTATAACTGTACCTCATGGTGTTTCACTAATAAAAAAAAAAAAAGCACTCTGATTTCACAAGGAATACTCTGGTTTAACTCTCTACTCTTTTTCTATTAGATGACTCTAGAGCAAGCGTTTCTCTTTACCATAATCTATGAGGGTTTTCTTTTTCCCTCTACTAAACTGTTAAGCCTTTGGAGGCACAAGCTAATCTGACTCATTCAATATTTATGTATGTTCACTATGGGGAAGTCACTGCTCAAATACTTGGTCTGGAAGTCCTTACAACACCGTGGTCAATGTGTTTCAAATAACACAGGTATTCAATAAATGCTTGCTGAAAGAAGTTTAATTCTAGTGTTCCCATATTTTAGTTTTGGCTCTCCTTGGGGGGTTGCACATCAGTGTATCATGTAGGATACTTTCACACTTAGGGGGCTGCATATCAGTGTATTAATTGGGTTGCTTACACACTTGGCCTCAGTGCTATTTTTGGACTCCACTAAGTTGTGGAGTTTGCACATGTGTTCTGCAAAGGATCTAACTCTAAGTTAAGGCACATTAGGGTTGTGGTACTCACAGGAGGTGCTGCGGTGCTTACACATGTACTCCCCATGAGAAACTTTCTGGCTATGGGGCCCACAAATCTTCATGCTGTAGTGCTTCTTCGGGGGCGCCACATTTATTTCTATGAAATTGCATGGGGTACTACTGGGGATGGCAGACAACAGAGCTGTCAGCATTGCACTCACTATACGAGGGCACCAAAGATTTGAACTCTTGACTATATGCTTGCAAAGCAGGTGCTCTAGCCCCTGTGCTCTTTCCCTGCCCTTTGTTAAAAATACATTCTAGGGCTGGAGCAACAATACAATGGGTAGGGTGCTTGCCTGGCAAGTAGCCGACCCAAGGCTCAATTCCTGGCATCCCATATGTTCCACCAAGTGCCACCAGGAATAATCCCTGAGTTTAGAGGGAGCAGTAAGCTCTGAAAACCTCCTGAAGTGGCCCGTAAACAAACCAACCAACCCAAAAAAGAAAAAAAAAAAAACCACCTAGATAGACATTCTCATTAGGAATATTCACTTACAATGGGGCCTTTCTAGACTGCATCCCTTACCTTTACAGACCTCTCTCTCCCCATATCCATTCACTTATTATGATTTACGTGTGTGTGTGCATGCATGCATGTGTAGGAGTGTGTGCGCCAGGGATCAAACCCAGAACGCAGGATCTCACACAGGAGACATGTGCGCTACCAGTGGGCCATATCCCTGACCCCGATACTTTTTTTTTTTTAATAGTTTATTTCTTTATTGAATCACTGTGGGAAAAGTTACAGAGCTTTTGGGTTTAGGTCTCAGTCATGTAAGTATCAAACACATTTCCCTTTACCAATACTTATTTTTAACCGTGAACCCCAATAGAACCCCACCTCCCACCCCTCCCAATTCCTGTGAGGCAGATGAGTTCTAGTTAATACTCTATCTACTTTGACTAGATACATTGTTTCGATAGAAGATGCACAATTATTGTTTAGAGTTTACGACCCCCCCCCATCAGATATGCTGAAACAGCGTTGCAAAATGATTTGCTTTCTACAGCTGGGTTTAAGAATAAAATGATGTCGCACGGCCGCAATAGCGGCCGCGCGGTTTTGGATTTCTGCTGTTTTACTTATTAACCCTGGAAGTATTTCTATTAAAAGTTAGATAGTTAAGAGATTGGTTTCTGTGCTCTGGAGTCGTGGCCGTGCCGGAGAGCCGCTCGTGGGGGGCAGCTGGTGACCTCGGTCGGGCGTGAAGGACGGACCCCGATACTTTTAAGTGTCATGATTAGCCTAAAATTCTCCATCATGCTAAAAGCAATTCAGGAATATTAAATCAACCAGCATGTGGCCAACCCAAGGCCACTTGGGTCTATTAGGTTGATGCTTCTTAAACTTTAGGTCATGACCCACATGAGCTCACATAACTTTTTAAAAAAAGAAGTTTTAAAATAATTACTTCATAGGGCGAAAGTAATAGTGCAGTGGGAGTGGGTAGGGTACTTGCCTTGCATGCATCAGACTGGGTTCAATCCATAGGTTGAACCAGCATATAGTACCACCAGGAGCAATTCCTGAGTGCAGAACCAAGAGTAACCCCTGAGCATCACTGGGTGTGGCCCAAAGAAGAAAACAAAACAAAACAAAAAATTTCTTTATGACTTATTACTAGCCAATGTGTGCTTTGTATACCTCTTTTATCTACCATACGTTAGGTATTGTGTAAAAAATTCTCAACCAAAAAGAAGTTGTGAGTGGAAAAAAGTTTAAGAAGCCCTAAACTAGAACATAATTTCCCTCTAGTAGTTTGACAAAATTTCATCTATACCTGTTTCACTAAGACTTTCATCCTCTTCCTCTTCTGTAATGATAGGCATACTGAGACTTAAAGATTTATCTTCCTTATTTATATTCTGCAAGTCACCTGGAAATAGAAAATGATTTAAATGAAAACAGAACATTTAAACTTTGAGAAAAATTTTATGTCACTTAACAAAAGTACAAAAGCTAAAATTGCAAAAAAGTATTTAAAATAAATTTCAAATATTAGATATATGTGTCTATACTTTTAAAATAATTTAACTCTTTTTTTTTCTTTTTGGGTCACACCCGGCGATGCTCAGGGGTTACTCCTGGCTCATGCACTCAGGAATAACCCCTGGCGGTGCTCGGGGGACCATATGGGATGCTGGGAATCGAACCTGTGTTGGCCATGTTGGCTGCGTGCAAGGCAAACGCCCTACCCGCCGTGCTATTGCTCCAGCCCCCCAAAATAATTTAACTCTTTCATTAAAATGATAAAAGGTGGAAAACGATGAAGCAAAACTAGCAAATGAATTTTTTGCAAATCTACTAGATAATATATTTAATCTCATCTCTCACACGTAGCACTGGTCATATTTACAAACATCAGGAAATATTATTTAAGCCTCATTAAATGCACTGTAGCACTGTCCTCCTGTTGTTTATCAATTTGCTCCAGCGGGCACCAGTAATGTTTCCACTGTGAGACTTGTTACTGTTTTTGGCATATTGAATACTCCATGGGGAGCTTGCCAGGCTCTGCCATGGGACGGGATACCCTTGGTAGCTTGCCAGCCCCTCATTAAATGAAATAATCAAAATTTAAAGTTCATAGTACTGTTTTTATTTTATTCTCTTTTGGTTTATGGGCCACACTCTGCAGTGCTCAGAGCTTACTCCTGGTAGGGCTTGAGGACCATATGGGATGCCTGGGACAGAAACCAGATCAGTCATGTGAAAGGCAAGTGCCCTACCCACTGTACTCCAGTACTCCATTATGCTGTTTTTAAATGCAGACACTTTATTTATCATCATATGTGCTCTACAAGACACATTACTTCTCTAGTGTTAGTTTCTATTTTTCAAAAACTGGAGGTCTCAACAATTTTTGGAAAATAGAAACTTTCTGTTGCCTGAAGAAATAACCTAATCAAATAAATCAGGTTCTTAGTTAGCTTGTAACTTCCATGTACTGGTGGAAACTTCTACATAAACTCCACATAAACTCTTTATGCCATATGCTTTTTTTTTTGCCATATGCTTCTTTATTCTTCTCAAATAACACTTATATGACCTAATACATTATATATTATTTCTAGTTTACTTCTTGCCACTAGAGTGTGAATTCATTAGAATAGATTTTAAGTTGATGTATCCTCAACATATAGGAAAATAACTGACATACAGTAAAAAATATAGTTTACTGATATAGTCTATAAATATTGATTAAATATGAATTCAGCTGTTCTATATTATTACATAAAGCACATGTACCAGCCCCAATTATTTTTAGGAGACAAGGAACCAAAATACACACCTTTGGCATTAAATTTAGTTTGGGTTGTTTTCTTTGTGGAATAGCTATAATTTTATATAAAATGTTTTTATTATTTTTCTAATGAACCACTATTCAGATATAAGAAATGATGATGAAATTGGAACAAGAGAAATTATATAAGAGGTAAGGCACTTGCTTTGCATGTGACTGACTCTGGTTTGATCTCAGCACCACATACGGCCCTAAGCCACCCAGGTAGTGATCCCTAAACTCAGAGACTGGAGTAAGCCCTGAGCACTGATACAAAATAAAACAAACAAAAACCAAAAATACAGAAAGAATTTAAGCTATTTGAGTGGGTGGGGGGAAAAAGGAAGGAAGGGCACCACACTTGGCAATGCTCAGGGCTTACTCCTGGCTCTGTGCTCAGGGATCACTCCTCACAGGCTCAGGGGACTGTATGGGATACCAGGGATCAAATCAAGGTCTGCTGTGTGCAAGGCAAGCCCCCTACCCACCACACTGTCTCTTCAGTCTCTAATTAAGCTTTCTGACCTGAACGTGTCTTAGTGGAGCACAGATTATGTTTTAAATGAAATTAATTGATTGCTCTAAGATGGTGATGGCAAATCATAGCAATAAACCTTCATTATAAATGTAGTTAGCGGTTAACAAAATACCAGTTTCCCCTTAGATCATTATAATACAATTTTACCTTTATTTGCAAATTCTAAGTATTAATAACAAAGATTTTTACATTATCTTAAAGATGAAAATCGTTTAGGTACTAAGTTCAGAAACATATTCTTTGGGGCTTTTCTTAAAATTCAATGAATAATAAATTTTATGAGCCACAAAATTATAAGCAATACAATGTACCCCAACTTAGAAACTATTATTCTTTACAACCTTTTGGTCATAACCATTCAGACTTATGAATTATGTTTTTAAAGTCATGTTTACAACATTAGCAGAATTTACCCAGAAACATCAAAGGAAGGATTTCTGACTTAAATACTGAAAATTGGAGGATGAGGATACCTCAGTGGTAGAGCATATATGCCTTGTGTGACCCAGGGTTCCATCCCAGACACCACTAGAAACACACACACACACACACACACACACACACACACACACACACACACACACCAATAACCAGATCTATGCTTATTACAGCATTACACCACATATGGTCCCCAGAGCACTGCACCACTGCGAGTAGCTAAAAAACAACAGGACAGGGATGGGGATGGGATGGGGTAAAACTGTGTTATTTATACACACACAAAGAAATACTACTACTCAGATACTCAGATCAAAGAAAAGATGAAATCTTGCACTTTGCTAAAACTTGGATGGAACTTGATAAAAGAAGTCATGTTAAGATGAATCAGAACAAAAACCAGATGACCTCACTAAATGTGCAGTACAAAGAAACAAAGGAAAAAGACAAAGACCAATGAAAATAAATCTTGAAATTCTAAAAGAATGCAGTCTGCCAAGTATAATGGGTAGGAATAGAGTGAGGCCTCCCCAAATAAGGGACCTAGGGACACTGGTGGAGGGGAGGGAGGCACTCTGGTGGTGGGACAGTAATACTGCATGCCTCAAACAATAGTATCAATACTACTGCAAATCATGATACTTCAATAAAATAAATATACTGCTTTACCCGACCTACCAGGCAGTCAAAAAAGAAGCAGATAAAACTTTAGAATGTTTATCTCAGAGGCCATAGATGAAATAAAACTCGTTAATTTTAGACATATGCTATGTTTATCAGTCCTTTCACCAGAACCTAATTATATTTATTTTACATCAAACAAATGAAGAGCCAATTAGGGTTGCTAAATCATTAAAGTTCAGAAGCTGCAAAAAGGGCAAATTACTACTATCCTATATCCTGTGAACAGAAAGAAGACCAAACAAAAGTGAGGAAAAAAATATTTTACATAATTAAAACATAAGAACTGATGAAGCACTATAGCATGAAGCAGTAGTATAAAAATGCCCAACACCCTTATAATATTTCTTGATAGGCTCATTATATTCTAAAACCTGTCAAGTAATATGCCCATGATGCTAATCCTAAATCATAAAGAGAAAATTACATTCAGGATACAATCATTACTCTAAAAAATGAGAGCACTTATTTTAAAGAAAATACATTTCAGTGCTTTTCTAATTATAAAAATGATAAATGCACATTGTTCAAAATTAGAAATAGTATGTAATACACTTTTTTTAAAGTATCAGTCAAAATAAACTTTTTTCAATAGGGACCACTCCTAGCAATGCTTGATCTGGCTGTACCACAGCTGGGAACCATCAGGGCTATGTCCACCTTCCTACCAGACTACTCTGATTTTCTTCAACGAAAACTGGTCATGCCATGTTCTTGCTCAAAAGCGTCAGGTACCCCTCTGCTTATCAAATTACATCTAAATTTCTGGTTCTACATTTAGAGGTGTAAAATGACATTATCTTCAACTCTAGCTCTCATATCATTAAACGAAAACTTTTCAACACATCCTTTATATTCCAGGTAGTCCTTAGTTCCATACTTCTAATTACTTGGCTAGTTTTTTCCCATACCTTTATCTGTTTTAGTCCACAGAACTATTGTTGCTTTTCCAACTTTTGATCTTTGAATTTTCTCCAATTACTAAAGTAACAAACATTTAGAATATGAAGTTCAAAGATCACAAGAAATTATGGAGATTTCATCCCTGAGAATCAACACTGCTCACGTTTCCAGATTTGTTCGATATCTATTGTATTTATATCTGCATATATTTTTATTAACAAAAATAGAACCAATCTTTTATTTAAAATAGCTTGAGCCCTGGCAGCCAAAAACCTCCACACTCCACAACTGCCACCATGCTCTGGGCCAGATTCCACTGCTCAGGATGAGCTTCATCCAGAATTAATCTGTTGAAAAACTCAAGTATGTGGTTTTGTGACTGAAATCTCCAGCTTTCATGGAGCTGGGGATGGACGACCCTGCCCCCATCTCCCTGTACTTCCAAAAGTCATGGCAGTCAGGTCCATGAATCACCTCCATGCCATGTAAGTTCTTTTACCAGCCATGATCTAGAGACCATAAATAAATCTCAAAAGAGATCAACAAGTTGCAGAAATTCTTCTGAATCCATGCAAAATTGAGTTATCCATGGTACCCTGGAGATGGGTGAGTGAGCCCAGCACCTGCCCAAACAGAGCCATAGTAGCTGGAAATCTCCACATTCCACAATCGCTGCCATGCTTCTGGCCTGCTTGGGACAAGCCTCATCCAGAAATTAATCTGCTGAAAAACTCAGCTATGCAGGTTTTTTGACTGAAATCTCCAGGCTTTCATGGAGATGGGGATGGGCTACCTCCCCCATCTGCCTATATTTCCAGAAGCACTGGCAGTCACGCACATGCCCCAAAATGCCACCCAGTTAAAAATTTAACTTCAGTTGTAGTTAAATTTTTAGATATTTTGTAGATTTCTAAATCTTGTAGAAATCTTGGACTTCTTGGAACGCGGGCCACATTTGCGACCTTGTGGCACTTCAAACTCTATATCACTGATAATCAGGAGTAGCACACCAGATTGGATGGTATGTAACGTA